ACCCCTAACATTCTGTGATTCTGTGATAAATCAGCTAGCTGTGCATGAACTATAATGGAAGACTATATATTTTACAATGGGAATGTATAGATATAAAATTATTACCATTAATTAAATAGGTTTCTATGACCACAAGGAATTGACACAGGAGCTGTAACTGGCTCCACAGGGTTAAAAGGCCTAGCTCTGGAAGTTGTAGGAAACATAAGAAAACCAATTCAGTGATAAATAGACAGCTTATTCCAAGTGCCAATACAAACAACCTTTAAGAGCCATCATTCTTATACATCAATGCGGATTCCATGTTTTATAGACATTAATTCTCTAGTGCCTGTTAAATACATAACAAATGAACATAGATGAGGTAAAGATGCTGTAATTGCCACATACAGCCAATACGGCAAAGGAGGAGTTTTTCCAAATGGGCAGATCCAGAGGCCATGACGAATCCCGTCACGGACATGATGAGAAGTCCAGGATATAAACAACATCCAGGGAAGAAAGCACCATGAATCCTTAAGCCTGAAAAGGTGCATAATAAACTTTAATGTCAGAGCCACAACAGGAATCACAGTAGAACAATGAAGAAGTGGTCTCTGTGGAAGAGTCAGAGCAGCCTGCAGAAAAGAAAAATATAATTGGCAATGGCTACAACCATGACAAGAAAAGAAATGTTTCGTGGATGTTCACAGCTGTATTACCAAGTGGCTAAGTGGAACTGCAAAGAACAACATACTGTTCCTTTCCACTGTAGCTGATCAAAATCAGCAATATGACTATTTAGATGTATGAGAGCCATGTGTTGCCCTGTCTCTCTATTGTATAATATGAATCATGCACCCTACTAAGCATTATTGACAGTAAAACACAGAGGGAGATGGATGAGGTACGCTATCTGCCACATAGTCATGTGGTATACAGGAACTTCCACAGTCTGCTGTACTGTTTATATGTATTTAAAATTAAGATAATTAAAACAATCATACAATACACTTGAAATATTTAATCTGCTTTACTTGAAATATTTCATATGATTTAATGGCATTTATTTTCAAAAATACATCCTGTATTATACCACAGTTAGCACCTGTGCAGTTGTTTTAGCTGGACAATATCTAAAACAGAACAATAATTTCCAACAAAAGTACGATCTGTTACATGTATTTTGATTGTCTTGACACAGTATTCTTTATGGACAGGCAAAAGACAAGTTCAGAAGCCAACATCTGAATCATTTGTGACTGGGGGTTTTGTATCAACAACTTATTTAGTGTTAACTCAGTTGAAAGACTGATAATTTGGTTTTAATTAAGGTGAAGGTGTAGCTAGTGAGATTAAATTTAGACGTTTAAAGAAGTCATAATTATCATTTTAATATACATACTTGAGAAACTATTCTGGACGTACTTACTAGCAACAGCTAGAACTATCTCCACAAATTCAATTTTTTTTTTTAACCAAAAAATGGTAAAATAAAAATTAAATCGAAATATTTTGGATTTCTAAGCAACAAATAAGTAGATTCTTGTTTCTGTAAGCACAGAAGAAATGACAGCACATTACTAAAAGTTCTATACATGTGCTGATGTAGTATCAATTGCCTCAATTCAGACGCTGGTGAACATTTGGAAAGACTGTAACAAGCACCAGAGTCTTAACTCTTTGCACATCAAGGTGCATCTGATTGTTATGTTGAACACATCCCTCACTGCATCTACTGCAGAAAGGAAACAAAGCCTTGCTACAATCACTCATTAATGCTTCAGTTGTGTTAATTGTTGCAGGATTCAACAGCTACAATCCTTGACAGTGAGACTCTGGAATAGCTTCATCAAGTTTTCATGGATAATTTAGACAACTGCTTGAACTCTGTCTTCTCTGTAAGGAAACTTTGATGTAGCCTTAGCCAAGAAATAGAGAGATGGAAACTTATGGACCATCTTGGAATATAACAGCCTGTGCTTTAAACCAAAGCCAATGTTAAAAGGCTTGCAGAAAGCTTCATCTATTAACTTCCCACCACTTGTTGCTTGTTGGTGACTCTCTCAATCAGGTGACAGGATTAAAAAGCTCACAAACTCTCAACAACTTTTAACTGTAGCAGTACAGACGTTAACTCCTTATAGTTGGTGCAAAGGGTGTATTTTCTACAACTTCATTTCTCTTTTACACAAGCAGACTGTTCACAGGTTAAAGTAGAAAAATCTTGTGATGGTGAAACTGTTTATCACCTACCCTACAAAGACAGTCAGATTTTTGTTACTGTCAGCAAGAGCCTAAAAAGTCCATACTAGCCTTATTTTGAAAAACCACCCTGGATGGTGATACATTTTTGCCAGATATCGTATTGACTGGTCACTATTTCTGCACTTGGAAAAAATCAGTGGCAAAGTCTAAATAAGTCTTTTTCCTCTGCTCTATGGAGGTTAGGTGCCAACCGCAACACAGTGAGCAAGGAGAATCTGAATGTTATTTGCATATGCAATTTATCAGTATTAGTGCCGATCTTTATTCATTTTTGGGGAGGCGATGCTTAAATTTTTTTCATACAAATTTTAGATGGCAGGGCTGTTCATACAACAGACCTGAGCACTCAATTCTAGCAAGAGAATTCTATTTTGTAATTGCAGTACAGTCATTAGGCTTCTAAAACGCTGTTGCCCAAGTTCTGAGACAAGAATATTCTGTTTTCTCTTTCACATTCTGCAACTAGAGCAACATTTACATCCTTGAGTTGCCAAGCCCAAGAGACAGACACGTAGCTCTATTTGGCAATATAAGCTGTCATATTCCTCCTTCCTAACAGGCAAATTTGTTTGCCTTTAGAAATCACCAGATCTTACCAAAAAAAAAAAAAAAAAAAACCTTTTCTGCCTTAAATCTCCTGGAAAAAGATGATTGTGCTTTGGGCAGATCTAGCAGGGCACTGACCATGAGAGAGATCAGGCTGTGGTTGCAAGCAGAATTTATTCACAACACAAACTATCTACACGTCCAATCAGGTGCAAGATCTTCTTGATGTTCCTGCTCCTCCAGCCCCTCTCACACACTAAATGAGCAGATGGAGACAGGAGACAACAATCGCATGCACGGGAATCCAAGCAAACGCTTTACTTTAATGCTCAAAGTGACCACAGAATTATCTAACAACATGGGCTCCCTCACTCATACTCTGTGATGCTTCACAAGCCTGAAGTCCTTAGTTTTGAGGCTGATCTATAAATTCAATGGTAAATTAACTGTGTGTGTGCAAAGCTTACTCTTCAATTCCAGAAATGCTCCTGTGCAGCCCAGGTTGGTCAGCAGTGGCACATCAACAAGCTGTGTTATATATGTTTGCTGCTACAATCTTGCTTGCCACCGACAGCATTCTCTGCACTTCTAGAAGCTGGTGAGACTTAAGCAGCAAGCTAGCAATTTCTGCATGTCTGTTCTGCAACATGAGTGTTTGGGTTACAATCCCGCGGGACACTGGGAGCAGCCCATCATTCTATTCTTGTTTATCAGCAATGCTGAGTATGAGGGCAGGCTGCAGTAACTTTCACCTGCAGAGCTAGTCAATGAGACACTTCAAACATTGATTATTAGATTCTTCTACATTTGTGTGCATATAAAACACAGTAAAAACTACATAGAATACAAAGAACTACAAATTCTAAGTAGTAAAGTCTTTACAGACTTTATACTTGTTGCAAAAATAATGTGGGCAAAAGGGCAGATCACACGCTACTTGGTACACAAGTATTTATCAAAGTAAACATATAAATACTATAGGTGACTATTTACCCTGAATACTCCAGAAAAATAATGATGACATCGTGAAAAACAACCCAATAGCCAAATAATCCAAATAGCGATCTGCAGGAACAGGCATGACTGGTGTAGTGTGAAGGTAGCAATTGGAGGTAGAAGGCAATACTGTCTTGTGCTGCATAGAAGGGTTACTTCAAAACAGGAAGCCATATTCAGATTTAAGGGTGATGATGAAGAGCTTTATAGGTAATTGTGTAGCGTAATGTGAAAAACACTATTGTTACAAATTAGTAATAGTTGTGTGGTGGGTAAATTAGATTTCTTAATTTATTAGTTCTTCAGTAATACATTGCACAAGCAGTAAACATTGTATTCTCTTAAATCAGTTACCCTCAATCTTCCAATCTAAAGAGAAAAATGGGACTGGAATAACAAACACATAGTAAAAAAGTATCCCACGAAGTAATAAATTATGTAGGCAACAGCCTAAAATTAGGACATGAAACTGAAAGGCGTATCATATTAAGCTGAGGAAAGAAAAATCACACATTAAAATCAGGTCTAGCTAGCCAGGCAACTACACAGCAGAAAAGTTTATGGGTATTACATCATATCACAAACTAAAAAGACTCCAATGGCATTGCAAGAAGACGTAAAACCTGTAACACATTTTTTGTTCTTTTTAAAAAGACACAAGTGTATGCATGCGACATTAAAAGGAATTAATCTGTGCTATTCGACTCAAATGAAGTCTCACCTACAATACCACACACGGTTTGGGACAGGACCCTTTAAAGATAATTCAGGCTAAAGGCAACCCAGAGGAGATGAGAAAAATAGTAAGACGTTTAGAAAACATAAATCCAGGCCCTTCAGATTTTTTTGTGAGTTATCTAGTCAAGAAGAGATTTTCCCTAAAGCATAATGGTTTTACAAGTTCTAAGTGTAATGCTGCTGCTGCTGTAAGGGTCAAGAGACCTGCACAGGATGTGGTTTACAGGTGAACATCCTTTATTAGCCTATTTAACATATGGAAAAGGGAGGAGTTTGTAGGCAAAGGACTATGAAAAAGCCTTTGGGCATCTTGCCTTGTCCTTACCTCAGCCAAGTAAAATTTTGCTATTAAAGGGCTACCCTTCTACCTGCAACATCTTGTATTTCTGATCTGAAAAACATTTTTGGTGAGAGCATAGCAATCACCTGTCTTTTGCAGAGAGACCTTCAAGAATAAGAAAACAAGATCTGTCAACAACAATACTTTAGGCTAGATAGTAGAAAAACAATTGCTAGCTGTTTAGGAACTGAAACAACACAGGAACAAATTAAGTAATGAAACTGCAATAATTTACTTTGTTTGGGATACCAGGGATAGGCCACACATTCTCCATCATGCAATGTGTAAGAATATTTTACTTTGCCTCACTGCAGGCAGTAAGAGACAGGTCGCCTCCTAGTTCTACAATACAATACAATACTCAACTTTCTAAATTGACATTGGTGAAGAGTGTCATCTAGTGGTTATAATTAATAAAAAATACTGTCAATGCTCTCAAATGCGAGAAAAAGTAGCAATAAAATTTATCAATACTTTCTAATAACTAGCCATTCACTACTTGCATTTACTGATTTTAAAATAAGAAAATATACGTGAGAATAATTACAGATTTAAATGCTGTTATAAAAATGTTAATATTATAGGATCCATTAATCAATGAAACTTAACTTTGCTTTTCTTTACATAGTTTTATAATTTTACAGTATTTCTATATGCAAAAATAGAGATAAGGGGAGGACTAGGGACCACCTAAGGAGGAACAATGCTGCGCACCAGCGTTGGCAGAGGCTGACTGGCAGGAAAGCAGTTTTGAGGAAATTCGACTTGTTGAATAACAAGGTGAATGTAAGCCGGCAATGTGGCCTTATGGCAAAGACCAGGGGTACCCTGGCCTGCACTAGGAGTGTTGCCAGCAAGTCAAGGGACACGATCTTTCCTGTTCTCCTCAGCACCGGTAAGGCCACCTCTGGAGTGCTGAGTCTAGTTCTGGGCTCCCCACTACAAAAGAGACATGGAGCTACTGAGATTGAGTCCAGAGAAGGACCACTGAGATCATGAATGGACTGCAGCATCTTGCATAGGAGGAAAGGATGAGAGCTGGAACCGTGCAGCCTGGAGCACAGAAAGCTCAGGGGAGATACCATCAAGGAGCACCAATATCTGAAGGGAGGTGTAAAGAGAACAGAGCCAGGCTCTTTCCAGTGGTGTTCACTGACAGGGCAAGATGCAACGGGCACAGACTGAAACACAGGCAGTTCCTTCTGCATGTAAATAAACATGTTTTCACTGTGACAGTGACTGCACGTGGGAACAGGTTGCCCAGGGAGGTTGTGGAGTCTACATCCATGGAGATACTCAAAAATTGTCTGGACATGGCCCTGAGCAACTGGCTCCAGGTGAGTCTCCTTCAGCACAGGGGTTTGAGAAGACGACCTCCAGAAGACCGTTCCAACTACAACCACTCTGTGATTCTGTAAAAAAGCCCTCTTTGTCAAAGACAAAGGGGAAAACTGACCAAATGGCATAAATAGGAAAACGTCTTTCCCCTACAACAGATAGTGATGTTGTACGTAAACAAAAACTACTTTCCTATCCAAAGTCTGACAGTCACATCTCAACTACAAGCAATAATGCTTCTTGCATTTAGCTGTGTCCTACATATTTAAAAAAACCAAAACAACGTGGTAAACCATTTTGCATTGCTCTTCGTTAATCAAAGGATTACAAAGAACAGTAATTTTCCCTCCACCTCCTTCCTAGAAGCTATTTCCTCTGTCATCCATATGAAAACTATAACACTATTACAAGTAAACTGGAGAAGGAGAAAGAAGAAAAGACAGTCAAACAACAAAGTCATGCTCTGATTGAATGGACGAAGATTGGTATCTTCCCCTACTCCTGGGCAGGTCTATCTATAGGTGCGAGTGCACACTTCTGGGGAGGAGAGAGTAAGTAGCTTGCACATATATGTATGCTAGCAACACCAGCATAATCAAACTGTGAGGACTTGTGTCGCTGAGCAGAGCAAATTCCTGATAACAAGCAGAGTGGCAGGGCTCTAGCTATGGCAACCAGAAGTTAGCTGGGGGTGAGGAGTGTCTGTCTGAAGCACAAGGTCTGGAGACCAGTGCAAGAGAACTGTGGCCGGGCCTGGCACAGCCGGACCTTACAGAAGGTCCAAGTGTCTGGGAGAGTATTGGAAGAGCCTGTTGTGGTCAGCAATAGCTGGGTATGTATGTTTGGAGTATGCAAGAAGACAGGGATACATCTACGTGTGTGAATGGGGAAGTGGGAACTGAACACATCTACACCACTGGAGAATCACTGAAAAAGAACGCCATGATCTGGTAGTACTAATCTTATTGGGAAACTCTGTCCTAACAAGCAGTTCTGCAAATGGATGATCCTCACATATTCCTTAATAGGAGCCAATTCAACTTCTTAATTTTATTAACAAGTTTGACAATTACTTTATTTATATTTTTTAAAAAAATGAACTATATTTAAAGGCAAACTCAGACTGCCTTTTAAAAGATGACAGCTCGTTTGTGGGAAAAATATTAAGGGCTGGCTAAAACCAAATGTACTGCTCAGCAAGACTAAATTAGATCAAACAGCAGCTGGATTATCTACTTTCCAGACATTTCTACCCTTTATTGTAAACAGAAATGGAATAGTCCACTCTATACACAAAGTGTGCATGGTAGCACTCAACTTTAACTGAGATAACAAAGCAACTATGTGATACATATAGGATATTGTGTATAAGGGCTTTCAGAAATCTTTTTTCAGAGCCTTGTAAGGAGCAGAACTCAACAGTAGATCCAAAATATTTTTAGGGCTTTTAAAATCATAACAACTGCATATAAACATAATTCCTATACATCTACTAAAATTATATCTAACTAAAGCATCGTTGGAATTGTTTTTCTTTAGGATATGGTAGAAAAACAATAAAGTAAACAGTGATGAAGAAAGAAACAATCACTGATCTATTGACTTACCTTTAATGACAGGGAGCCAGCAAGAAAGAAGTGGTCCACATCAATGACAGAGGCGAGGAAGCCAGCCAGAGTGACCTCAGTGAAGTCACTTTTCTTTCTGAGTCCAATCACTATGGCCCAGGACCACATGCCTAGTATACCATGCACTGCATTATCAGAGAAGGCTCGGAGCCAGTCATTTTGCTGAATGAAGGAAAACTGTAGAAGTCTGTCTGCTACAAAGCAGAATACTCCCAAACCTACACTAGAAATAACTGAAGCTGTGCTGAACGTTTGGAGAAGAGCATGCGCCTTTTCAGTCTCAGATGCCATGGCAAAAACCATGTCACAGCACACAAAATGTCACCAGGATATACACTGCGCATTGTCCTTTGTATTGTCAGTCGTTCTGCAAACGTCAGAGAACAGAAAGAAAGTTATTAAAGAAAAAAATCCATTAGCACAAAACATTTGTTTTCACGGCTACAACTGAGCCTAAAAAACCCCAAAATTCAATGTTTGCACTTAATATTCCAGTTAAGTTAATTTGCTGACTTGAATACCATAGCTCTGAATTAAAACACTTGATCTGTTTTGATTAGAACAAACACCTTTGTAAAACAGAAAGATCTAACTCCTCTTTCTGAAAAGGTAAATTTTACAAAGTAATTCTAAACGTGTCTATGATAATATGCTGAGTTTGTTTCAAGGCTCCTCCTGGCTTAAATATCTAATATTCATCAAATTAAATCCTTTACACTGTAACAGCAAAAAGAGATTCAGTTTGGAGGATTCTTAGGACTGATGCTTAAAAATTCCCAATCTCTCTATGCAACAACGGCAAAACCTGAGTTTCTAATCTATAATCCAAAACACTATTTTCGTTTACACACTTTGTAAACATACATATTATCGCCCTGCTACCCCTCTCTGAGAAACAACTTGTTTAGCTTGGAGACTAGCACATAGAATAAGCATTAAGAAAAACAGAACCACTAAAATATCTTTACTACTTATCATAAACACAAGACAAGAACCATTCAGTCAAATAGAAGAAACCAAAACTAACTCCTTACAGAGCAAAACCACATGTGCTTTTCCTCACGTGAATTTGTGCTCTAGCAGTAAACTCTACTGTTGCTTTTAGGACTTGTCTATTGGCTGCCACATTACCTTCATAACAGCTCTTTTCACAGAAAAAAAGAAAATCAACTAATCCCAGGCATTTTACTTTTCAGAAGTTGACCGGTGTAATTTGAAAATAGAAGCACATTAATAATCACTTAAAAGTCCTTAAAAACTACTTGTGTTCTGTAACTGTTATGAAACCCTCTTGCACAAGGTGATTTCTTGCAAATAATCACTGTCCTTAAATAACTGCTTGACACCTCAATAGAAATTCCAAAAATAATTCAAGATCTTAAAGTCACCCCCACCCCACTCCCAAGAAACAACTTTCAGATACCCAGATTATAAAGACAGAGTACTCATTTCTGTGATAACATTAAAAGGAACACTTTTGAAATAAAAATCCTCATATAAATTATGTTTTCCCTAGCTTTGTTACATTAGGCACGCTGAAAAGCAGTCTTTGAAGGACAGTATCAATTCTAACTGTCCCAACTGTTATGCTCTTCTGTCTTTTTGGGGAGCCATGGAGATAGACCACAGTTTCAAAGACTACATCCTATCTAAAAATGGATTCGTCCCAAGAGGTTGCTATTTTTGTGCAATATTTTAAATCTTGATAATCCTTCTTCATACGGTTCTATCAGGTAAATTTTTATTCTAAATGGGCCTTCTATGAGTGTATTTGACTTCCTTTAAAAATTGTACTTTTAACAACGTTGACACTAATAGTTTATGATCAACAAATTATTGATTATAAGTCCCAGAAAATAGAAAATGTTTCTGCCAGATTATTTACATGCCTGGTTTTTTATTTTTTTTTTTTTTTACCCACAAGACACGACTACTGGCATTAGTCTTTATAAAAAAAGAAGCCCGCTGAATCATTTATTTGGAAAACACTAAAAAAAACCAAAGACAAAAGCATGAATAATACATGGACTTTGCACACAGATGAAAAAAAAGTGGGTCAAGTTTAGACTCTGTTAACCATGACTGTGCCTCTTCTGAATGAACGTCTAGACACAAAATATTTCCTTAAACACTGGAACTGCCATTTTCTGGTGGGTGACTTTAAAATACACAGTACATTTCTGAATAAATTCAATTTTAAGGAACTAATGGCAATCTCCTCATAAATGTTTCCTGTACATATACAACCGTCATGTCAGACTGCATTTTACTTAAAATTACCATGAAATCTGTATAAGAACCCAATCTGTGAAGAGCTGATGTAGCAACATACCTTTAAAGAGCACACAAGTATTCAGAATCAAACTTACCCTGGGACTAGAACAGGTTTTTCTACTGCAGTTGCCTTATTCCAGTAGGAAACATCCTTGATGCCTCAGCTTTGAGCTTCTGTGCTTTCTGAATCCAGTTTGCCCAGTTCAATGCAGGAAAGATCAAACATCATTTTTTCTACCCTAAATAAATCGAACCAAGCAGCAGTAAGCACTGATACTACACAAAGCTCTTCAAACTCTACAAAACACACATGAAAACTGAATGACAGTCAAAAATGCAGAAAGAAGGAACATCTTTTTAATTAATTGCTGAACAAATATAATTGACCTAAAAGCTACTTCAGCAAGGGCTTAAAAGCTCTGTTAAAAAAAGCAGGACAAAAAGACCATAAAACAAGACAAGGGCACAAATAAAGATGGAACAAGGTAATAATTAAAAGATAGTAAAACTCACTGTCATAAAGTCAGAAAAAAAAGTCAGTCACTTCCAACCTTCTGTTTTAAGTAATTGCATTTCAAAATATACAGAGATCTATTTTAACAGATTTTTCCTTGTAACTGTGTGCCTGAAAGATTCCCACCTAATGAAGCATTTATGAGTCACATTCTTCTTAATTTCATCCCATCAATTACTGACCTTGAAACAGATAAGCAGAGACCTATACATTCAAACAGGAACAGGTCTGTGTCAGTTCTGTGGTAGGCTTACACTGCTTTGCTGTGGATATCATTAACATGTGCATAAAGTACACAGGAAAAGACTTAAAAGAAATCTGAAATTACTTGGATTTGAGAATGATGTATCATGAAATAAAGGTAACAATGCCAAGTGGAAAACAAGGACAATATGTGAATGCACATGTGTGAGCCAGAATGAAGAACAAGAAACAAAAATGTGGCTTCAGATTACCCTTAGTCAAAAGCCATTTCATGGCATAACTGTTCTTTTTAAACAGTCTGTCTCTGCCATCTTTTACAGGCAAAAATGACTGCTGTCTCTGTAAAAATCAAGTCACATTCCCAGGTGCAACACCGTAAGTATGAAAACTCTGCAGATTGAGTGAAATCAGACTAGGAAAAGCAAAACACTGTTCAACCAAAATAATCTCCGAAACTAGTCCAAAAATTTTTAATATAAAACTAGAAACTGTATTTTTGTCTGAAAAATAATGATTTTCAGACTGTTTACAAATCACCACAATAAAATGTCATAGTTTTTTCTATCCTATAATTCTCAGAAAGCATAGTTGTGGAGCTTACATTGTTGTTAAAACAGAACAGCGGGAAATAGATACATCACATGATGATGCTTAGAAACCCATGGGTGGTCAGCCCAGTTAATATGTTAAAGGAAAGATTTAGGCTGGGTTTACACAAAACACATGCACGCAACAGCTGATAGGGTAACGCTGCTTTTAGTTCTGATTTCTGATGACATTCCTATATGAGATAAAACGCATTATGCATAACCTCTGCCTCTACCCACAAAATGCAATTTTGCTGATATATTTCATTTAAGAAAATTATAAAAATAATTTTAACAAATGCACAGTCAGCATTGTAAATAACTGACATAAGACATTTAGATCAAAGCTTTAAATACACATTTGGGGAAACAGCTGACACTGAGGCCCTTCAACTCATGGTGTAAGCACAAAACAAAAATTCAATGGCTAAAATTATCAGTTAGAAACACTGCTCTCCAAAATTTTAGCCCCAGTTTTGCAAGAAGTTATCGGGTATCTGAATACATACAGCAATTTAATGCACAAAATTAGTAGAATTATGCACTTTATGGAAAAAGTCAAAATATTGCAGTAGTCCCTTATAATTCTAGAATCTCCCAATAAAACATTATTTGATATTGTATATTAATTATTTAATATTTTTAAGTATTATTTTATATTGGATGATAAAACTCCATGAAGTACAATTACCATTTAAGACACAAGCTCAAACCTTTAATGTATTATCTCACTGAATAGCAGATTCAAGCCTAAAACAATCTGTGAAGAACTGACAATGCAAATATTTTTGGGTCAGATAATTATAATGCATTACTGGGGCTGGAGGATGGAAGGAGGCTGAAGAGGAAGGAGGCCGAAGAGGAAGGAGGCCAAAATCATGCAAGATATCAGTAGGATTTTACCAAGACGCTGAGCAAAAAATTGAATTAAAACCACAAGGAAATTAAGAAAAACAAACAAACCCCCGATAAAATCAGAATTTAATTAAATTATTTCAGGGCCCATAAATAAAAGTGTTTGAAAAGAGATACCGAGACACCAAAAAACACACCTTCTCCTTAAATGAGTACTTCAGAATGGAGATGTACCTAAAAGAAAGAGTTGAAAGAAATATCCTGAAAGTATTTACTAATTAGACCACAGTACCATCCAGTGGAACAAAAAATCATTTGTCATCCTAGGGGAAAAAAAAAAAAAAAAGGCAAGAAAAAAGGATGAGCAGTCTATGTATTACCCTCATAAACTACAAGAGCACTCGGCTAACCGAATTTAAGATTAAAATACAACCTGTATGTGCAATTAAAGAGAGGAACGAAGGAGATACAGGCATGCGGCAGACAGACGTAGAATTACAGAGATCAGCAACAATTTTTATGACTTGAGGAAAGGGTGTGCTTTATCTCAACACCCTCATCAGCCATCTCCTCAGTCATTAATAAAAATGTAGTGTCACCTGCGCAAAAACGGAGCCAAGAGCGTCCATGTAGGTGACAGACCTGGCTTTAGGTAAAGCACCGCATCACCGTTTCTTATGTTAAGCCCTACCCGACGTATGGGCACCTTTATTAATAAAACAGGAATCTGACCGGCTACCACAAGTCTTCCCCCGCTTTAGCTTCTTCTCAGTAAAACTCACTGCACTGTAAACACCCCGGGGTCCCCTCACCGACGGACCCCCGAAACCCCAACCCCGCGGCAGGCAGCCCAGAGCCATGAGGAGAACTCCGCGTCTATCCGGCCCGGGCGGCGGCGGGCGGCTTCCCCCTGCTCCGTTCGGCAGCCCC